ATATATATATGTATATATTTATTTATTTATTTTAGGTTGGATGATGAGCTACATGTACAATAGGGGATAGTTCTTCCTTTCTCAAATCTCTCATCACCCATTTTAAGATTCAAATATGAGATCTCTAATGTTAAGGCTCAAGTTTTTAATCACTTGAACATCCCCTAAGGGATTATTTTTTATATTATTTGACTAAATATGTAAAATTTTTGTTGATTAGTTTTATTTAATAAAAAATAATGTAAAGTTTCACACATATATGTATTTATTAAAAAAAAATTGCTTGAATTTACATATAAAAAGTCAAATAATACCATTTGAAAAACAAAAATAATTGGTATACCATCTGCTTTAATAAACTTGTTAATACATATTACTTTAATCATTAAAATCTAAAACTTTAGGTTTTCTCACTTCAATTCAAATTTGAAAATGAGATTCATATTTTACAATCAGACTACATATTAAAAGTGTAGTCTATCCTATAAATTTACTAAAATACCTTTAATAAATAACATAAGAATTAAATAATGTCCCTAATAAATAATATAAGAATTAGTTTCATTAAGAATATTTTAGTAAAGGTTAAATGCCAATTTTAGTCCCTCAACTTCAAGTTTTTGCACAACTTTCGTTCCTCAACCATTTAAAGTATTTTTTTAGTCTCTCAACTCTAAAAAATAAAATTTTTTCAGTCACTTTGTCAATTAATTTGTTAAATTTGTCCAAATATACACATTTTTATTCCCTAACATTATCAATTTAAGAACTAAAATATGCATATATTATAAATTTAGAGATTAAAAATGTGCACATTTGAACAGATTTAATGAGTTAACTAATAGAAGGATAAAAAATGTGTATTTTCAAAGTTAAGGAATGAAAAAAAGTGCTAAAAAAAGTTGAGGGATGAAAACAATACAAAACCCTAAAATTATGGGGTTAACATTTGATATTTAACCTTTAGTAAATTCATAAGGGACTGCATTTTTAATATGCACTTTATCTTATAAAAAACTTTTTCATTTAAAAATATTAATTTTTTAATAAAAATATTGTAAAATATATTAAATCAAAAAGTGTTTGTATCAATGAGATTAAAAAATGGAGGTATTTCATAATTAAAGATGAGCCGAAGCACACATTGAAAAAATACATGTATAGTTACTTGGGAAAATATAGACTTGTTTGCAAAGTTGAGCATTTGTAAAGGTACTAAATACGTACAACTTCTAAATCATAAAATTAATAAATTAATTTTACCAATTAAATTTAGAACTTCAACTTCTAATTTTTTTTATTTATAAACTTAAATCAATGTCCTTCTTCTATATATTATGGGAGTTTGAGTACCTCTTACACTTATTTTTAGGTTGGAAAATGATGTGTGCACACCTGAATTCAACACCCGGGTATGCACACTTCGCATAAAAAAAAAATGAAGAACACCCGGTCTTTTTTTTTTTATGTGGAGTGTGCACACCCGGGTGTTGAATCCGGTGTGCACCAATCATAGTCCTTTTAGGTTAAACCCTTAATTTGGTCCTGTGACTATTATACAAGCTCTTGATTTGGTCTATAAACTTAAAAATATCTCTATTTTGGTCTTTAAGCTTGAAATTTTGGCTCTGTTTTGGTCCTCGCATTGAATTTTTGATGACATCAACAACTATTTATTAACTATTGCTTACGTGGACATTGTAGGGCCCTTTTAAAAAAAAATAGCCATTTTAGCATTTAAAAACAAAATATAAATATTTTTTTGGCCTATAAACAAACATCCTTATGAAGGAAATGATGGTACATCCTTTGGTTCAATATACCCTCCAACACTCACCAATTTAGCCATTAAAATCTGCAACTTTGAGTTTTTTGCCTTTAATCTAAATTTGAAAATAGTAATTTTTTAATGAGTATGTTGTGGAGTGTGTTAACCCAAATGGTGTAACAATCAGTATCCTACTTATATATAAGAAAATTACATCTAATAACTTTATATTTTACAATATAAAAAAGTTTTCTCGTTAAGTTAATTAATAAGTGAATACTTAGTAAATACATAGTTTGGGTAATACCTATCAATCCTACATTGGAAAAAGAGTATGATTATGAGTGGTATATTGCAAAGACCAACCACTACTAATAACTTGAACATGAGTTTTTGAGACCCATAAACCCTAAGTCGAGAAGTTATTGTTAGCCTTGTTATAGTGAGTGGGAAGATCCCACATTGAGGATATAACAAAGAAATATGTGGTTTAAATACAAAAGGAACTACTCCACCTATTGCCAAATGATTTTAGGTTGGATAAAAGTCTTGTGTTAAAACTTGCATGACCAATTTTAACATGATATTAGAGTCTAGACTTTATCCGAGGATGTATTAAACTACGTGACAAAATCAAACGCTCATACGAAGCATGCAAGTGAGGAGAGGCATAAATATGTGACTTAAATATAAGAAGAATTACTCTACCTATTACTTGCTGAAAAAACCACATGATTGCATAATTGAGAAGAAAAAAGCACAGAATACTACTCTTACAAAGTAAAAGTTGTAGCTTATCAAAAAAAAAAAAGAAAAAAGTGAAAGATGTACTAAACAAGTTTTCATGGGACCCGTGAATGAGAGATATACAAAACTTACATTACAACTTCTTGTTCTTGCTATCATATTTGATGTCAAAAGTACTTTGAACTTGAATTTTTATGTTGAAAGCCTTAAATTTGAATCATGGATGTGCATGTTTGCAGGGGTTTGAGAAGGGAGTAGTTATCTTAAATTGTGTAAATACTATGTAAATATTGTGTAGTGACCTATCACCATATAACATCAATCACATATATAGTGTGGTGGTCGAGTTGCATGTACTCCTATTCACAACTCAATTAAATCCTTAACTATTACATACCAAAAAAAATATATATCCTATGACAACAAATACCTAAAAAAGGGGCTAACACTTGATAGTGATAAAAATTTTAAAGAAAATAATTGATACACACTTAGTTTAACATTTTTTTTTACACTCATTTTAGTTTAATTATTAAAATATAATACAAAATATAATCAGTTTTTATATTCTATATGCATAATTATATTTTTAAGTTTATCTTTGTATGACATCATCACATGTAAAAAATCCATTTGCCACCTAAATATTTTTTAACAGAAAGCTAATATGTGATAACGTCATATGTTAAATAATAGGTGATTTACTTTGATTAATAATTTAGAAAGATAATTTATCCCTACAATTTTTTGAAAAAAAAAGGATGGAATTGGGGTTTTGAGAGCACTTGGTAGTGCAATGTCATATCTCCTTTGATGCCAAATGGTAAGTTTTTTTTTAACATGTTTACAAAAGTCAGATTTGAATCATTGCCTGAGAAGGGAAGAATACACTTTAACGTGGTTTTATTACCATTGGACTTGAAGGTCCAAGTGCGCCAAATAGTAAGTCTTTTTCATCAATAAATGAAAAAGATTCATTAATACGAGAGTACAAATATACTTCAACCCATAAAA